CGAGCGTGTCCTTGAAACTTGAGTTCCAAGTGGCATATACAACAGATTGTTTATTTACATCAAAACACGTGTTTTGTGTCATAGTAATATGGCCAAAATATAAACAGCCGTTATTCAGCCATCTTTGATCTGATTATGAAACACACTGATATGTATGATGTATGTGCCAAATACGAATGAAAATGGTACATAAATTGTGGAAATATAGTAGTAAGGCCAAAAAGTCAGATGGCTGTCAATCGGCCATCCTTGACCAGATTTTGAAACAAATTGTAATGGACATGCATCCTAACATGTATAAAATACATGTATGTGCCAAATTTGAATGAAAACTGACAGAGCACGTCCAAGATACCGCATAAAAAAACAAGATGCCTGCCAGTCGACCATCTTTTATCAAATTGCGAAATAAATCGTCATGAACATGTATCCTAACATGTATAATCTATGTACCAAGTTTGAATGAAAACTGACAAAGCATGTCCAAAATACAACATTTTCAAAAAACAAGATGGCTGCCAGTCGGCCATTTTGAATTGAATCGCTAAACCACTGCATGTGCATATGTCCCACATAAAGTACGAGGCACATGCAAAGAATGAACGGAATCGGTCCAAGGGATTCAGAGATATGACTCGGGACGGACGCACGAACACACGGACGGACGGAGACCGAATTATAAGTCCCCGTTTTCGGACTTCAACCGAACGGGGACTAACAAAAACAAGAGGTTATTGACACGTGTATGTTGATTTTTTTCACTGTAGCCAAATAATGGTCTCAATAATTTTAGCTACAGACTAAACTTCCACAACAAAACTGACTGCTTTGAGGTCTCCAGGATGTGTGGTATCACTTACATAGACAAACATGTATCACTCGTAAATAATTGAGTTATCTGTAAACAATACAGTGTTTTTAACAGAAATTTGGGCCAGCAAAGCAGGCATTTGCATAACAATAGAAATTCTTTTACAGAATAATTATATCATTTTGTAGATATATAATCTTTTTTTTTTTTATTAAACTTTGTCAATTTGAGAATAACCTTAACACGTTTTGCAGTATATTGAATATTTTGACTCTTGCCTTGATTAATGAGGTACAAATAATGCTGACCTACCTTAACGTTATATATAACATGACCCTGGGTAAGGGCGTTGGCCGGATGGACCCAACTCCTGTTCATACCTACAAAATATAAAAAAAATAGGACAAGTATTAAAATCCTGTCTGCGGTAAAAGCAAGAATAATACATTGTGCCTTGAAAGCTGATCCACTGTAATATATCAGGACTGATAATTATTCAATGTGTACGAGAATACAATAAGCAGAGACAATTTCTTGTATTTTTTACAGCACGTGAATCAATAGTATATTAATAATTGTTCCCATGTTGTAATTAAAAGAATATTTTTTAGTTGGTTTAGGTTTATATTTTAGTATAATAATAAAGTAAACAATATAGTATAATTTTATTATCAAAACAATCGGGTTGATAGTTTTGAAGTTAAAAATATAATTTTTTTACAAAAAATGACAAAAATATTCGCCAAAAATAAAGAATTGAAGTTATTGTCATTAAATGAACAAATCTGACAAAGGTCAACCTAAGGTACATGTACCTATATACTGAAGCAATTGAGCTTGTAGTTTACAAGAAGAAGTTATAAATGCAATTGTTGACGACGACGACAGACGATCACCTATACGAACACCTCTGCTCTGTCATATACAATGACAGCAGAGCTAAAAAAAAAATATTTTTTGTTAATAGTGAAAAATTTTGGTTTTTCAGTTTATTTGTTTTTGTTATATTTTGATACTTACTGTTGTTGGGTTGTTTCTGTTTAGATGCCCAGTTTCCGAATGGAATGGACATGTCACGCTGATTTCACCAATTCAATACATAAGACTGAAAGAGATTGAAAATATAACACAGATTAAAGATGTAGTAGTAGTTTTCAGAAAGTAAAATTCACACTACATTTTCATCATAGAATTGTTTTACATATCATAGCAATTAAAATACTGGAAAACCATTAGACATTAATGGATATTGTGCCAGCTATATGACCTTTGTACATCATGATTTACATTGTATGTTGT